CCAGGCCGAAATGATTTTGAGCAGTTTTTAGTAAGCCGTACAATTATTTATACAAAAAACTGAGCCCCCAGCATCTAGCCTACCCGATTAAAATAAAATTTCTAATAGTCTTGATACAATATCTTTAATTTTGCTGGCTATCTCTGTATATTTATCTTCCACCCAAAACCACCTGCACTTTAAATACACACTTTTACAAACGCTACACATTTGTTTTAGTTAAGCGTCGTACTCGATGTCACGGGCCGTTTCTGAGCCGCTATAAGGCTTAGCTCATACCAACGCAAAAGATAGTTTTGGCCTGTCCAGCTTGCACTAATTTCACGCTTGCACTGCCCCTTTAAGCTTAAAGGCTGATGACTTCTCATACCAACCTCAATGAAAGCTAAATATTTTCAAATTGAAATATTTTTAATGCATACAGCGTTCCTCTGTGCTGATTCAGAATTAGTCATTAGACACTCAATTCTGTGCCAGTTATGATTAAATCATTTGGACAATGTGTCGCAAGACGTCTTGCTGCTGTTGTTGTTGTTGTTGACGGTAGTGCTTTTTATTTGAGAGTTTAATGATGCTTTCAGGATGGTTAAACGTTATTTAGGCTTCAAGTTTACTAACGTTTCTTAATGGGGTCTACTTAACCAACTATAATTTACACCTCTCGTGTTTTGTTGTTGTCTTGGCGCTCCGTTTAAAATCGTATCATACGCCCTTGTCGGCAACACGTCCGCCGGTTAAGTAGTATCGAATTTTGCTGTCTAAAAAGCGCTTAGAAACAATGGCCAAGTAGTGATTGTCATCAGCACATATAAGTTCTTTTGCTCAATCTAAACCTATCTATCTTTGTGGCTCAAGCGACAACGTTTATTAGCCCAGCGTTCTTCTTACGGCCGGCTACTGATGTACTTGTAACTTGTACGATTTAGCAATACCTCATAGAAACCCACTCAGATTACTTATTAATGTTAGTACTTTTACAGGTAGTTATCATTTTAGTCATTGTAACTCGCAGAAACTACTGAGTACAGAGTATTACGCGTATTAATAGTATGTCCTCGAAAACATGCGTTCCTACGAGCACCTTGAAGTATTGGAAGCAAGCCCTCAGTTTAGCACTCGAATATTAAAAACAACATGCATTATCAATAGAGTAAATACGATCCCGCCTTCGGATAATGGACAAATCTCCATATGTGCTCTGTGAACCACATGAATTTACTAATATAAGCTACATAATTCAGTTTTGACCAATTGGAGCCGCCTTCGCTCCGCTCGACAGCCAATGATAAAGCTCAAAAACCCGAGCGTTTCGTGTGACGGACGGACAGACACCGTGCTAGCATTGATAGCTTAGGACTAGCCGTTCGCCGCCGCTACGCGGCGGAGGTGGCAGGTTTTAGTCCCAGGGGGAAATGGGCTCGCGCCTTCGCTGCGCTCCGACGTAAACATGATTATGTAAACGGGATGTATTAAATGCATATGAAATTAGACATTCCTACTCTGAACCAAAGATCTGCCCGTAGACAATGTTCTGGGTGTAGACCCCATCCTCCTCCTCCAGCTTTGGGTACTCGACCAGCGCCTTGAATCTTGATCTTGAAGTAACTCGCGACATCGCAACGTACAGCTGACCGTGGGAGAAGCAAGGCGTAGCAAGATATAGCCCCAAGTGCTGCACCGTTTGTCCCTGCGCCTTGTTAATGGTCATCGCAAAGGCCGGTTGGACAGGAAACTGCTTGCGTCTCAAGTGAAACGGAAAGCTCCGAATGTCTCCGTCACTGATGAAAACAATGCGGGGAATCAACACATGTTGCCCTTGTCGCTCACCTGTCGTGATAGTGGCGTGGATGACATGTGGCTTGAGCGCCACGATTCGAAGCCGTGTTCCGTTGCACAGCCCTAGATCTGGATTCAGGCTCCGCATCATCATAATAGGCATTCCTACCTTGAGGGTCAGCTTGTGGGGAGGCATTCCACTGGTATTCATCGAGTGGAGTACCTCCTGCTCGAAGAAATTACCGTCACCGTCGTCTTGTACAGAATCGGAAGACATATTCACGCGCCTGTCCAGTTAATCGATCGGTCACCGCTTCATTTATGCGGTGGACGATTGCGTTCGTGGTCGTGAGGATCGTTCGGTTAGCGAAATACTCGTCGGTAGCAACCTCGGGGTTGTTAATCTCTCCATACATCTCGTCAATGATTCGATCCATGCCTCTTGGAATAACACCAGGACAAATTTTTACTGGTCGTCGTCCTCGGGCACAGGTGGATTCTCAATCAGCATATCGCGTGGAAGCTTTATGTAATCGCTTCCTAGGGAATGGTTAGCTTCACGCCTTCCCTCGCCGACTTGCAGCAGGAACTCGGAGAACGCAGCCATTTCCTCAGCAGTGTCCGCAGTATCAGCTATGCGCACTCGCATGTTTTCCGTAAGCCGGAACGTCTGGAATTGGGGACACAGCCTAGACGACTTGAGGCAAGCGTCAATTGTCTCTACGGGTGTTCCATTCTTAACGACCGGAAGAATCTGGCGGAAATCTCACCGAAAGTACAAACACTTTCCCCCCAAAAGGCTCGGTATCGTTGTCAAGTATGTCCCGCAGTGTTCTGTCTACTGCCTCGAATGCGTGGCGATGGGCCATAGGTGCTTCGTCCCAAATAATCAAACTTGCATGCTTGATCAACTCCTAAATATGGGAGTTCTTCCTGATACCGCACGTAGAGCTCTCGTTTAATTTCAAAGGGATCTTGAATGTAGAATGAGCTGTCCTACCACCCATGAGCAAGAGCGAGGCAATACCGCTAGACGCCACAGCGATGGCGATTTTTCCCGAGAGTCTGACTTTGGCCAGTATGTTTCGAAGCAGCGTAGATTTTCCAGTACCACCCGGGCCATCGACAAAAAATAACTTGTTGCCTTCCTGAGGACAGTCTACCGCTTCAATAATCTGGTCGTAAACCACTCGCTGTCCTTCGTTTAGCTGATCTTCTGTGCTTACAATTGCCTCCAAAGCTGACGCATCGTATCCAGTGAGCTCACGTCGTAGTAATCCGTTTTGGCGAAGCGATTCACGAACCAATGTTGGGAACGGCCCCAGCTGAGGAAGCTCGTCGAAGTCAGCTATCGCATACCCACTCGCTTGAAGTAGTTCTTGAATGCTCATCAGCGTTTCAAATTCGACCAACGCCGACATAAAGGGGTCCATCAAAGCCTGATGTTTGCGTGCGAAGTCTTGGGAAAGATCCGCGAAAAACCGATCCCATAGAACACCAACATTTGCTGGAGCTGAATACACCAGAATGGTGACGTAGAGCTGGCGTAGTTGATACGGCATTTGGAACTCAGCCGCTTCCCTCAAAC